GTTCTGTGTCTAAGTCGCACTGGCCATGTGACCACAGAAGATTGTCTTCGGACAAACGCTGGCTCTATGGCTTGGAAACGGGGATGAGCACCGCCCCCTAGAGTCGAGCACGACTGGACAAAAAAATTGTCCAGGGGAACCTTTACCTTTTACCTTTTACAAAGCCCAGGACTTAATTCAGTAATCTTTATTGGCATAGGAAAATTAAAAACATACACTTGGGAAATTAATAGTAAATAGAGATACAGTACACATAATAGTTACACGGCTAAAAAATACAGCAAGAAACACAATAGGGGATACTTTGGGGCAGTCTGGTTAATTTTTAGAGACCTGGGAGCAGAGAACCTTTGCAAGAAACTCAGCTACTAAGGCCGTTATTTTTTTGTGTGTGAATAGTCATAAAGGAGGAAACCTGTGACAAACTGAAGAGGGCCAGAAAAATTTGAAATAATTGAACCTAAGAGATAAGCATGCATATCTTTAAACTCAGGGCAGTAACAGAGAATGTGTGTGACTGAGTCTGGTTCTAAACCACAGAAATTGCAGATTCATTGTTCAAAAGGTACCTGGGCATATCGTCCTTTAAGCACCTGGGAAGAGGAAATGTTCAGCCGAAGCCCAGGACTCCACAGAATCATATAATGATGGAGTCGGAAGGGGCCTCTAAGGCCATCAAGTCCAACCCCCCGCTCAACGCAGAAGTCCAAGTCAACGTAGATCTGACCAAGGGCCCACCCATTTTCCCTTGAGGGCCTCCAGCGTTGGAGCGCTCACCACCTCCCGAGGTCATGGGTTCTCTTGTCGTTCTGCTCCACGGTCATCCTCTTGAGAGGATGGAGCTATGACTGTTACAGTGGTACCAAACAGCTATGACGGTACAGCATAAATACCTTCCAAGGCTTCACAATCAGCATCCAGTCTTTATTATCTTTCTTATTATTTATTATCATAGAGTTTTCCATACCCAGGCATGATTCGCCTTTCTTTATCCAACAGTGAAGCAGGGAAACACCTAACACTATGTATCACATGCTTTTCTTTTCTTTTTTCTTTCTATGGAACAGCATGCATGTGCAAGGAGATTCTCCACCTAAGTCAGAACTTTCATTTCTGCATGGAAAGTCAAAACAGAAAATGAAAACTGTTGTTCCGGAAACAGGGTGATCTTTACCTGGGAAAATCAACGATGCAGAAGAACGGAATCCGGACTCGTGAGCTTAGGGCAGGATAACTTGTGAGCGTCACAGATGAATACACATTTGAACCCGGGTCTCTTTATTGGTCTAATATACTAACCCAGGCTTTTTCATCCTACGGCCAAAGGACAATTTGAGAAGGGTCTGAAAAGCAGGGTTCCACTTCTCTCCTTCTGCCGACATCTTTGCAAGCCTGCTTAGTGCAATTAGGATGGAGTCTCTGAATGCTTTTTAAACTTAAGATCGTTTTTAATATTTGCATGCTTTTAATTATTTAATTGCATTTAACACACCAGTATTGTATCTCACACAGTATATGTGTGAGAAGAATGAAATGAAATTCAAAGAAAAATCTTCCAATTACAAAAGAGCTTAGTCTTACACATACCACAGAACTGAGGGTCATCCCATCTGTTATTGGAGTATATGAACTCTTACATATTTTCAGAATAACACTAGCTGCTAGTTTTTCCCCCATTCTCTGGTTCCAACCTATTTTCAGATGTCAAGGTTAATATTATATTATCTGTTACTTCCAGAGAATATATCTGCTATAATATTGTGGAAACTCTTTTCTGCACTCATTACACCCACCACTATCTGATCTACATTTATATCCAAAAGGTCACTTTATGGTTCTTCACCTTAATTCGGTAACCTTTATTGGCATAGGAAAGTTTAAAACATACACTTGGGAAATTAATAGTAAATAGAGATACACATAATAGTTACACGGCTAAAAAATACAGCAAGAAACACAATAGGGGATACTTTGGGGCAGTCTGGTTAATTTTTAGAGATCTGGGAGGAGAGAACCTTTGCAAGAAACTCAGCTACTAAGGCCGTTTTTTTGGGGGGGGGGAATAGTCTTAAAGGAGGAAACCTGTGAGAAACTGAAGAGGGTCAGAAAAATTTGAAATAATTGAACCTAAGAGATAAGCATGCATATCTTTAAACTCAGGGCAGTAACAGAGAATGTGTGTGAAGAACACGTTCTGCTGGGTTCCTCTCTTCCTCATCGATTTATTCTCCCAAAGGGAACGGGGCACCAGATATGCCAACAGGAGGAGAAATGTGGACCTTCTGCCCTCCCCAGTTTCAGGGCTGGTCAGTAGAGCAAGCAAGGGCGGAGAAAAAGGTCAACTCTGCTGAAATGCTGAAGTGTTGGAGGAGAGACGTAACGATAAAACAGACTTCCCAATAAGGGGGTGCCAGAGCAAATCAAGTCCTGAAGCGTTCATATTTTGGAGATATTATGAGAAGACCCAGATGGACTGGAGAAAGCAATCATGTTTGGAAAATCGAAAGGCAGTAGGAAAAGAGGAAGATGTGGGATGGGTTGACTTTATAAAGGATGCCATGGCTTCCGTTTACAGAACCCTGAGCAGGGCTGTTAATGATGGGGCCCTTGTGTGGGGGATTAATCCATAGGGTTGCCATCAATTAGCAGCAACTTAATGGTAGATAATGGACCTATACCACAGCCTACCAGATATATTACATGTCTTATATCAAAGTGGATGGTCTGTGTTTTATCAAGGAAACCCATGACCGGTGAAATATAATCTACAATGATATTTAAATAACCAATCAAATTTAATTTAATATTGTATTCTCGAAGGCTTTCACGGCCAGGATCCGATGGTTGTGGGTTTTCCGGGCTGTTTGGCCGTGTTCTGAAGGTTTTTCTTCCTAACGTTTCAACCGTCTCTGTGGCCATGGGCATCTTCTGAGGACAGGAGTCAGAACTCTTGTCTGTGCTCTGGTTTGATATTGTTCTTTAACTTGGGTGACCTGGTCTCTAGTTCTCACCAAGCTGCGAAACTCATTAGGGGCAGATAAAATGGTAAGGAGAAGAGCCACGGATTTGACAAAAGGAAACTAATTAGTGAGTACAATCATACTGGATAATGCCCCATAAAGCTGTCTTATCTCCGAATATCTATATTCAGAAGTGTAATTTCCTGGAACATAACAAAGGAAAATATAATGAAGGTGGCATTCTTGTAAGCTATCAAAGGTCGTTTCTGAATGGAAAAATTGTTCTCTGGAAAGTACCAGGTGAGGCACATGATACACATAGTCCCAAGACTGCCCCTAGAGGAAGGGGGTGGTAACACACCTGTGAGTAATCTCTACCTGGAAAACTCTGAAAAGGATAACCATATGTCAGAATTAGCTAACCGGATGGCTCAATGGTTTAGGTCTCTGACTGGAGAGGTTGGGAGTTCGATTTCCCCCATGGAGCCTCCTGGGAGAAGAGCCAGCCTGGGTGGCCTTGGGCCAGCTGCACACAGTCCCAAGACTGCCCCTAGAGGAAGGGGGTGGTAACACACCTGTGAGTAATCTCTACCTGGAAAACTCTGAAAAGGATAACCATATGTCAAAATTAGCTAATCGGATGGCTCAATGGTTTAGGTCTCTGACTGTGGAGCCAGAGGTTGGGAGTTCGATTTCCCCCATGGAGCCTCCTGGGAGAAGAGCCAGCCTGGGTGGCCTTGGGCCAGCTGCACACAGTCTCAGGGCTCCCGTAGAGGAAGAGTAGGGTACTGCACTTCTGAATATCTAACTGGAAAAAAGCCTGAAAGGGGGCGCTATGAGTCAGAATTGACTTGACAGCGCATGGTGATGATGATCATTATCATCTTTAGAACACCCGGCATTCATTTTCAAGAATCCACATCTGAACCAGTTTCAAAAGCCACAATGTGTTTCACATGGTGTTCAGGTTAGCTGGGGTTTTATAAATGGTCCAAAACAAAACAAATCATTTTCAGGGTAGATTTTCCGTGTGAAAAAAAATTCTTATCTACTCTTCGCTAGCTAAGGCAGTCAGCCTGTACACATCCCCCAGAAAACCGAAAGCTGAACAAGTCAATTTTGCATAAAACACAATGGAGTGACGAACTCTCGTTGCCCAAAAGGCCAACCATCATCGTAGGCCACGAAGCATCTCTTGTTGGTGATCCCACTTGCATTTAAGCAGCACCAAGAGAGAAAGAGTTTCATTCATAGTGACTGATTGTTTCGTTCATAGTGACTTACTTGTGAGTGCTAGGCAAATACTCTTGTCCTTCACCCAGAACTTTTAACGTCTTTCAAACAGTATCAGTAACCTATATCTGAGCTTTATTTTGGTGTCGACACTGACATGTCAGCCCCTCATCTGTCAACCTTGAATGACTCTTCCTATCCCACAACTACAGATGGGGAACCGCAGCTGAGCCTAACAAGGGTCCAGCTCCCAGGACTGAACCGTCCACTCACATGTCCTGCCCATGATGTCCAGAGCTCTGCTCTCTTCCTGCTCGGCTGGCCACTCCATGAAGGGGCGGGAGGACAAGCCAAATGGGAAAGGGGTCATTGGGAGCATGAACAGGACCGGCGCCATGGCAAAGACACGTGAGTGACGGTCCAGTCCCGGGGGCCAGACCCTCATTAGGTCTAATTGGGGATATTTGTAAAGATTAAGGTAAAGGGTTCCCCTTGACATTTAGTCCAGTTGTGTCCGACTCTAGGGCGCAGTGCTCATCCCCATTTCCAAGCCGTAGAGCCAGTGTTTTGTCCGAAGACAGTTTCCGTGCTCCTGTGGCCAGTGTGAACTAGACATGGAACACCATGACCTTCACACCATGGTGGTCCCTATTTATCGACTCACATTTTTTACATGCTTTCGCACGGCTAGGTTGGCAGGAGCTGGGCGAGTGACGGGAGCTCCCTTCGTCGCGCATATTCGATCTTAGTACGGCTGGTCTTCTGACCTTGCAGCCCAGAGGCTTCTGGGGTTTAACCCACAGCTCCACCACGTGGAGACACCCCATCTCTACCCACAACACAACAGTAGTTTACATATTCAGAGCAATTGTTCTTTAGCCACAAACCATGTTCACTTTGACAACGGCTTCAAAAGGAAATAAACCCACTTAATATATGATAATTGTGTGTCATCAAGTCAAATTCCAACTTATGGCGACCCTTTCCAGGGTTTTCCAGGTAGAGAGTACTCGGAAAGGGGTTGACCAGTCCCTTCTTCTGGGGTCGCCCTGGAAGCGTGCGGCTTGCCCAAGGCTATACGGGCTGGCTCTGCTCATGGAGAGCCACCATGGGGAATCTGACTCCCAACCTTCGCCTAAATCACTGAGCTATCCAGCCAACTAAAACCCACTTGAAAGGACTGAACATCTGTCTGGGGTTTTAAGTCATGACCAAGGCTGAAATGCCAGGTTGACTTAAGACAATTTGCAACTTCATCTACTATACTAACAAACCGTTGCCATCATCTGTATCCTCACCTAGTCCCTGAGCCATTTCTTTCTTTCTTCATAAGAGATGGTTGCACAAATTTAAAAATCATGGACACCATTCAAATATAAGCAAAATCCTGGAGGAAAAGGTCGCCTCTGATTGTCCCTCCGCAAGCAGGCGAAGACCTTTCTCTTCGGGCAAGCTTTCTCTGAGTGAACGGCTGCCAAGTGGCATTTTTAGAATAAACAGTTGCGCCCAGCTGCACTGAATTAGAAATGGGGCACCAATTGCCAATTCGTCCCAGTTCGCTGCAAAACATGTGCTCGGGGATTCGCCACCCCACCCCCTCTGGCGGGCGCCCACTCAGAGGCGGCGTCCCAGCTTCCCTGCCCCCGCCTCCTCCGGGCACTGCCTCGGAGTGGGTGGCTGCTAGAGGAGGCAGGGTTCGGAACCATGGAACACCTGTTGCAGAAGTAAGCGAACTGGGCCGAATCACAAAAGCAGCACATCGTGCCCACTGCCAAACACTAAAAGTGTTTGGCATGGCTTATGTTTCTTTTTGTCACTTCATTCATTGATCCTTTTAGTACTGTATAATTGTTATTAGATTATAGATTGCCTTTTCATTCTGGTAAGACGCCTTGGGGGCCTTTTAATGGAGAAAGATAGGTTAGAAATAGTTTAAATCAATCAATATAAAGCAGTTAATCTTTAAGGTGCCCCAACAGGTTTCTCTCCTGCTTTGCTTTGCTGCCTGCTTGATTTTAAAGGTTAGCGTTCCTATTTTGCTGCCCAGCCGGTCCCGAAGCCAATGACGGCGAAACAGCATTTCCGTCACACTTGCACCCACCTGGCTCTACTTTTGCTGCCAATAGCGCTGTCTTTGTTGACACAGTCTTCCATTTCAGAGCGTGTGGGCCTCCAGATCTTGGTCCAGAGCCCAGAGCGAGCTCGAGAGAGACGCAGCTCCCGTCCGTAACAGGTGGAAACCCCATTCAATGGCCTGACATATTTGAGATACCACAACCGTGACACCGAGTGTGTGGAAAAGACATTTCAGCCGAGCGAGATGGCTGCAGCAGGCCACCGACTTCCTTTCCACTCTCTTACAGCCAGAAGGAGTTTTGGCACAGACCGTGACTCATGGGTCGGAAGATGGAGGGCATCCAGTTGTCTCCCCCACCCCAATTCACAGACAGCCCCACGGCCTAGAAAATGGAGCAGGAGAGCACAATAGAAAGCGCCCCTAGTCTATTGCATCAGGAGTATTGCGAAGCCAGCACGGAAAGGGGCAGGAACCACATGTGAGCAGATCATACACAGGGAGATGTCGACTCTTCTGTAAGAGCAAAACCTCTTGAAACACACAACTCTTTCAACGTGTGTGTTTCAAGCAGCCGGGTGATGGCAATGGTGACGTCCCTGGCCGTCAAAGTGGCTGCCGTGGTCCCTTGGCTGCTGCCACCCCGGCAACCTCTTGGACAGGCACCACGGACCACAGAGGAAACCCTACTGTGGTTTAAAAGGGTGCACATTTTGCAAAGTGACAAAAGTAACTTCTGCATTCCTCCTGCTTCTTTCTACGTGTATCATTGCTGCCAGGGTTAAAATATTAACACCTTCCGATTCATATTTTTTCACCATTGATGTTATTTATCTCTCGTTTTCGCTCCCACAAACTCCAAACAGCATACATGTTTTCCCTCCTTTCCATTTGATCCTCACAAGAACCATGTTAGTTGAGTGGGTGTAACTAGCCCGTGGTGAGTCAGTGAACCGGACACTAGACCAGGATTCAAACTCTGCTCCTGAGCCTTCACCCAGCACTCTAACCACTAGTAAACATCAAGGTTCCCCATGACATTTAGTCCAGTCGTGTCAGACCCTAGGGGGCGTTGCTCATCCCCGTCTCCAAGCCGTAGAGCCAGCGTTTGTCCGAAGACAGTTTCCGTGGTCACGTGGCCGGCACGACTGGACACGGAACGCCATGACCTTCCCACCGAGGTGGTACCTATTTTATCTACTCACATTTGCATCCTTTCAAACTGCTAGGTTGGCAGGAGCTGGGACAAGCGATGGGAGCTCCCTCCGTCACGTGGAGTCGATCTTATGACGGCTGGTCTTCTGACCTTGCAGCCCAGAGGCTTCTGGGGGTTAACCCGCAGCGCCACCACATCCCTACTCTAACCACTACCTCACCCTAGTTCTCTCGAAGCTTGGCTGCAAGCCTCAAAAGAACTGGTGGAGGGAGGGATTTTCTCACCACAACAGAATTGCTGGGAACTGTAGCAAAATATTCTGGGGTGATGAGGGCTTGAATGGATCACCAAGAGATGTTAAATTTACAAAAGACCTGCTCCTGGTGGAGGTGAAAACTGCTAGAAAAGGTTTGTTATCTCAGCGCCCCGGATTTTTTGACTCTCCTTGGCTGGGATGACTCAGGACGCAAGCGGGCACTCCGAGAGGTACTGTTCTACTGCTCCTTGGTCTCGAGTGCCGATCAGACCGAGAGACCGTGCCACGCCTCCCTCTGTGGCATGCCACTGTCATTCACCGGCTGGCTCTCCCACTCCATGCATCCCTCGGCGACAGGCCGATCTTCTTTCTGGATTTGCCAGCATAGCTTGGAGGACATTCCTTGGGGTGAACGGAGCCGGGCGTTCAGCGTCTCGCTCGTTCAACAGTTTGGTTTAAGTGGTGCCACCTGCTCCATCCAGAACGGTGCCTGGTATGCTGGGGACAGTGACCGCAGCATGCCGAGCCCCCAGCTCCAAACAGCCAGAGATCGCCAGCTGAAGACAGCCGGACTGGCTTGTAGAGATCATCCTCGACCACTCCAAAAATGCATAATAAAACTTTCTGCTCCATGAGCCTGAGAGCTGAACACTTCCCAGTTTTGCCAGAGCAGAGGCAAAAGAATCTGCTTTTCCTATTCACACTTCCATGCAAAACATTCAAGGAGGCAAAATGATAACGGAGAACAATAGTCTTTTATACGCCAATCTTTTGGCACGGGACAATGGGAAGTCCCAGAAACTCAGCTCAAGCCACATTGACTTCAGAACAATCCTATTCACTTTCCCTGGCCTGCTTACAAGGAAGACAAGACCGGATCTTGGGATCGCAGAAGACAGATCTCTGCATGGGGGAGGGAGCAGGGAAGACTCCCCTTCCCCTTAATTAATTAGTGTCATGAAGCCTATTAACATAAACAACTAGGATAAGAAACAGGGGTGTTTGTCAGAAGTGTCAGTTAAGCAGCTTTGAGGTTGAGTGTGTGGCAAATAGGGAACAAAAATTTTAAAAGGTTTTCAAAAAAATAAAAATAAACGAATGCTACGAATCTCCTTTTAGCATTTCAGCCCATGGAAATTCCAGGAGACAAAGGCAACATGGCAGGTTCCTCTCGTGCAGAGGAAAAGGAGGAGGTGGAAATCAGCAAAAGTTCAGTCCGTTTCATACCTAACCGTGCTCATAACTGGAGTGTGAAATCATACAGGGTAAAGGGCAGGGGCGAAGGAAAGAAAAGCAGCGAATTTTTGTATTGCAGGCTCTCCGAAACAGACAGAGCGGGGGGAGGGAAAAAAACTTCAGCTGTCAGAACTTAGATCCTGAACTTTGCAAGTAAATCAGTTAAGCCCCCGGAGACAGAAAGAGAGAAAGCAGGGTGGGGGGTGGGAAGAAGACCACTCTGAAATGCCCTTTTTCAGGCTAAGAGCTGAGCTTTTACCTTATAAGGAGCAAAACACCCATCGGAGGGACTGAACACTCATTGATAACTTCTCCAGGAAAAGGGATGAACACAAAGTTACAAGCAAGAGATTTCCCCACCACCACCACCACCATCAACACCCAGTTCAAGAGAGAAAAAATCAGGATAATCCATTCACAGGTCGGATTTAAAATCCTGAACCAGAGGAAGAAGAGTACAATGTATGGCCTTACCATAATGATTCTTTACGCTCCAGAGATCCCAGCCAAACAGCTGCTTTCCCTCCTCCCACCAAATTTATAACCCAGCCAGAGCTGACTCCACCTGAAAAGGAACTCCGCTCCTCATTTAAAGCAACAGGCGCATGGACGGAAATCTTGGTTTGCAAAGAATGGGATCCCACCCTCGTTGGGTCCTTTCTCTGTGCTGGGCCTGGAAAACCTCCCTCCATCTCTCCCTCTTCCCCCCCCCACCTCCACTGGTTGCTGGGACTTGGCGTGAAAGGAAGGCTGGAAAAGTCACACTGGCGCATCTCTAGGACTGAATGGAGAAGCCCAATTTCAGACCGCTTCAAACTCTGCCCCGGAGGGTCAGACGGTTCACGGCAAAGGCCTTATGGCCGGACAGGCGTGCCAACACTTGACTTCAGCAAAGCCTTTGACAAAGTGCTGTTCTGATTTGCAGGCTGACTAGCTCTGGGCTGGGTAGCACAAGGTGGATGCATCGGTGTGATTTGCAGGCTGACTAGCTCTGGGCTGGATAGCGCAAGGGCCAGGTGCATGCATCGGTGGGTTACGGAATCGTACTCAGAGGGTGATGATAAATGGGTCCTTCTCCAATTGGGAGGAGGTCACAAGTGGGGGAACCCCCAAGACTCAGCATGGGTCCTTCTCCAACTGGGAGGAGGTCAAAAGTGGGGGAACCCCAAAGCTCAGCCCCGGGCCCGGTGGTCTTCAATATCTTTATTAATGACTTGGATGAGGGAGTGCAGGGAATGCTTGTCAAATTTGCAGATGACCCAACATTGGGTGGGATAGCTAATACCCTGGAAGATAGAAACAACACTCAGCATTATCTGGATAGGCTTGAGCGCTGGGTTGAAAACAACAGAAAGAAATTTAACAGGGAAAAGTGCAAAGTTTGACACCTGGGGCGGGGGAAATACTATGAGTGAGAAGGATCTTAGAATTGTTGTAGATCAAAAGCTGAATATGAGCCAACACTGTGATGTTGCGGCAAAAAAGGCCAATGCAATTTAAGGATGCATGAACAGAAGCATACTCTCCAGATCCCACAAGGTACTATTTCCCCCTCTATTCAGCACTGGCTAGACCTCATATAGAGTCCTGGGTCCAGGTTCTGGATACTGCATTTGAAAAAGGATGCTAGCCAACTGAAGCAAGTTCGGAGGAGGGCAACAAGGATGATCAAGGGGCTGGAAGCCAAGCCCTAGGAGGAAAGACGGAACAGGGCCTGTTTAGCCTTGAGAAAAGAAGACTAAGGGGCGATAGGATAGCACTTTTCAAATACTTAAAAGTTTGACAGAGAAGGGGCAGTATCTGTGCTGGATACATAATATTGGGCTTAAGTGAGAGGAGGACAGATTTAGACTGAATCTTAGGAAAAAAACTCTTTACTGTTAGAGCAGTACAAGAATGGAACTGAAGACCTCAGGAGGTGGTGAGCGCTCCAACGCTGGAGGCCTTCGAGACAGTCCTCTTTCCGATCTGCTTTGAAATGGATTCCTGCCTTGAGCAAGGGGTGGGACTCGATGGCCTTAGAGGCCCCTTCTAACTCCGTTTTTGATTCTTTGACTCTATTTATAAATATAGTAATGGGTCCCCCAACAATTATTTAGCATGATTCAAAAGGCTTGAACCGGCCCTCGCAGATGTATTCAACCGGCAAGGCATCTAGCCAGAAGGGTTTTCGGGATGAAGTGAAAACCATCTGTTTTTGAAGTCTCTCTATCTTGGGGGTGCAGGGAAGGGGGAAAAAGAGATGGAGTTGTGAACAGGAAGCACCTCTCTGTTCAAACATGGCGTTCTTTGCCGTCTGCTCACTTTCACCACAATCCTAGCTCAAAGATAGGCTAGCTGTAGCAGGTCAGGAAAAGGCAGCTTTTTCTTCTGCAAGTAGAATTCTCCTTATGCTGGGAGATGCCCCAGTGCCGAGCTTGCCTGGCAGAGGGATCTGCCAGCAGAACTGCTCTGCCAGCTAAGATCTGCCAGGGGATGAGACAGAGAAAGGGAGGAGCTGGGGAATGCCTGATCAGGCTACAAGAAGCCAGTTTTAGGCTGAATATCAGCAAAACCTTCTTAACTGTTAGAGCAGTACGACAACGGAACCCATGACCTCGAGAGGTGGGGAGTGCTCCAACGCAGGAGACTTTCAAGAGGAAATTGGGCAAGCAGATCTGCCAGATCTGCTTAGATTTGGATTGCCACCTTGAGCAGGGAGGTTGGACTTGATGGCCTTAGAGGCCCCTTCTGACTCAGTTATTCTATGGTTCTACTACAGCCAAAGAAGATTCCAGCTACAAGAAGATCGATAAATAGATAGAACAGTGGTGGCAACTTTTGTCTTAGTTGTGCCTGGTTTGTCTTTGCAATAGGAGGTGGGAAGACAGATTTAGGCTGGATATCAAGAAAAACTCCATAGCTGTTAGAGCAGTACGACAACAGAACCCATGGCCTTTGGAGGTGGTGAGCATTCCAGCGTTGGAGGCCTTCAAGAGAAACTTGGACAGCCATCTGTCAGATCTGCTTGGATTTGGATTCCTGCCTTGAGCAAGGGGTTGGACTTGATGGCCTTCGGGGCCCCTTCCAACTTCATGATTATATGATTAACCCCAGAGACAACGGTGCTGATGCCGAGAAACAGCCCGTAAGTATGTGTATCAGACATTGTGGCAGGAATATGCAAACCCCGTGTCGTGTCTCTGCCCTGACCAGAGCCCTGCTGGTCACAGTGGGAAACCTCCCATCACCGGTGGGCTGGCTGGCTGGTTACTTGGCTGTTTTTTTGGCTGGCTGGCTGGCTGGTTGTTTGGCTGGTTGTTTGTCTGGCTGGTGGGCTGGTTGGCAGGTACTCCATATGATGTCCTGCTTTAATGCAAGCCATTCTTGACAAAGCAGGATATGTGAAATGGGTGGCTTTTTAGTATTGATGTTATTTGCCTTTTTAAAAATATAATACTTGCTTCCCTCTTTTTTTGAAATATTTGTGTGCTTCCTGTTTTTAGCTTTTAAATATTGTCTTTTTAATGACCTAAGTCATCTTGGGGCCTTTTAAGAAAAAAAAGTCAGGTAAAGATCTCTTTGAATGAATGAGTGAATGAATGAATGAATGAATAACTGTACATTGTCAGAAATGTGCAGTTTCTGCCACGTTAAGCCCAAAGGGAAGGCAGTTGCAAATAATTCCCAGCCTCCTTTGGCTGAATGGGGTTTGAACTTAACATTGTTTCAGCTAGCCTAGCGTCAGCTCAGCTGGCCCTCAGCCAACATGGATAGTTGGAATTGTGCTCTGTTTGTGACTTTAAACAAGCTTTGGGTGTTTGGCTTTGCTACTGTGCTTTTCCATCTTCATTTGTGGTACAGGGAGAAGACTGGGCTACTTTGCAAAGTTGTTGTTAGGTGCCTTGTGGCACAGCGCATAAAGCGCAGGACTGCAGTCAAGACTCTGTTCATGACCTGAGTGTCATCCTGATGGGTCTCAGGTACGAGCTGGCTCAAGTTTGACTCAGCCTTCGATCCTTCCGAGGTCAGTAAACTGAGAACCCAGTTTGCTGGTGGGAAGGGCAATGCGTAGCCTGGATAATTATATTGGAAACCACCCAGAGAAATGGTTGTTGTGGGCTTTTCGGGCTCTTTGGCCATGTTCTGAAGGTTGTTCTTCCTAACGTTTCGCCCGTCTCTGTGGCCAGCATCTTCAGAGGACAGGATTCAAAACTTTGTCTGTGCTCTGGTGCAGTTTGTTTATGATAGTTGGGTATTTATAGCTGTGGGATCAGCTTTTGTCCTTTTCAGGAGATGGGTGATTGTGGTGATCAGCATGTTTTTTGTTGTGGGTGTATAGTTGTGATAAGGGGGAGAAGTGATCTGTCACTGTGATTGATAGGTGTCATTTGTTGCACC